TGGTAACTCATGATGAGTTTCTAGCTCTATTATAGCCCAGAGCTCCGCCTCTGCCATACTGCAGGTAGTCATATCTACCAGTAGCTCCTGCTGTTACCTAATCAGTTATTCTTTTTATCAGTGCCTTTGATTTCTCCTTCCTGAATGCAGGCAATTGCACTGGCCTGTTGGAGCTGATGTTCTGAACTCTCCTTGAATTTTATCCTACATGAAAGTAGCCTGAGACAGCCCTCCAAACTGCTTCTAGCTCGTCCCGTCTTCTAAGCCCTTAATGAAAAACCCCTCTGCTCTCTTCCCTGTGATAACACAAAACCATTCTCCTGCTGCTGAGTATAAGCTATCTGGATGGTAGTGCAGGGGTTTGGGACCAGACACAACCTGTGAGAAGCAGGTTATGGTAGTTCGAGCAGAGATGATTTCATTTCCACTGGTCATTGTCAGCTTGCTCCTCCGTTTCTGAAAATTAATATTCTGGCAGGTAGTGTTAAATAGCTGCTATTTGCAAAGCATGAAAAATACTTTTCCACGTACTGCTTCTGATCTGTCCCATCAATGTGGGCTTAATATTTCCCCTTACCACGCTCTCCACAAAGATTTAACATAGTATGGACATGGAAGATATGAGTCAGAAATGAGGAGTGTGAAACCTGGGTGGCAGGGAGGTTAGAGGGGAGATTGCTGGTGACCATAACATTCCTGCACAGAGTAGTACTGCTGGAAACCTGTGTGTTAGCTGTGCTTCCAAGGCTTTTGTCTGTGGCATCCAGCTTCCACCACTTTCAACAACTGGAAATGGCCATGGGTATATCTGAGGCTTACTCTGATCCATACTAGCTGCCTGTCAACTCTCTTATAAAGTAATCACCAGAGAGTGATCATGATACAGTCACATCCCCTGCCTCAATGATGCATAAGGAGGTATCAACAGCTATGCTATATTTTACCTTTTTCTGCCTTCTCTTTGCCTCTGCAGTGGTAGGAGGCAGTTGCAGTCAGCCACACCATCACATACACTAGATCTTTAGTGGAGATGAGTTGTCATTAACATGGGATTCCTTGCACAAGCCTTTGCAATGTAGCTCTCAGATGCCCCCATGAGAAACCTGGTAAAAAGGCTTAGGTGTGCTGGCAGGCAGAGGGGCCATGTGTCTGCATCCCACACAGTGTTTCTGATGCTGATCAAGAGCAAACAGATGGCACTTTGTTATGTGAAACCCATCTGGAGAAATGCAAGCAGGTAATAGTAAACAGTACAGGGTTTGCTTTTTCTTGGGCTGGACAAGGGGCAAGGAGGGGGAATAGGGACTGTTTCTGAGGGTGCTGGAAAAGGCGAGGGAAGCCCTGGGCTCACAGGGTGAGGTGTGACACCCTGTAGAAAGGGCTCCTGTTTGTGAGCAGTCATATGGCTCATAGTCCTTGTGCTTTTAGGGGCTCTGTGGCTTGAGTTTGCACCCCTCCTTTCTCTCCTTCCACCCATGTGATTGATATTTTCAGTGACTCATCACTTGTGTTAACTCTATACTTTTTCCTCTTCTCTCACAGGCCAGGGAAGGAGAAGTAGCCATTATAGATAAAGTTCTGGATAATCCAGCTTTGACATCTAGAGACTTTCAAGAATGGAAACAAATGTACCTCGATCTCTTCATGGACATCTATCAAAGCAACACCCCGAGGGACTCTGTTAATGGCTCATCTGAGGTTGATGCCCTTATATCCTCCTTAGCGCACACTCACTCTTATATAGAAACGCATGTATAAAGGTCTCTCTTTTTGCCCATTTGCTACACTCCAGCCCTTTACTGAAGTGCATAAAGTAGTTTTTATATCCATATGTGAGAGCTCTAGTAAATTATATTTTAATGTTACTCAGCTGTGTGAAGTAAACCTTCAATGGTCAACAATTCCACTTCTTTAATGAAGATTTGTATATTTTATATGCTCAGCTTGTGTTTACTTTCTGTGAATTAACAAACATGATCTTTAGCTATTAAAGAAAAGGATTTAAAAGCATTTTTGGAAGACTGTGGCCTTCATGCAGGAAGTTCCACGTGCTAAAGCTTTTGTTATTGGTCATTTTACAATGATATTTTATATTATATAATTCCAGTATTGCATTGCATTTTTGGAGTGCAGGTACTATTTTGGTGGTGGGAGAAAACCAATTTTTATATTTAATGAGAAACTCTAGGAGTTTTCTTAAATAACAGGGAAAAAGTGTAATGCAGTGTATATGTTTCAGTTTTGTCTAGCACAAAAAAAGGTGAAAATCAACAGACAGAAAAGGACTAATGTGAATTTAAGTATCAAAAGGTTAGGTCTTGTTTCCTTGTGCTTTTTTAAAGCCTGTTGCTGAGGTTTACCATCAGTGCAAAGGGATGATAGTTTGTATTATAATTAAAACAAAATTGTGTGTTGTCTTTTGATCGCATTAGGTTGATTTAAAAACAAAAAATTAGTCCAGGTACTGTGATTGATGATGCTTTTGCACAGAAGGTATCAGTATAATGTGCAGATTTTGCAAAAGGGAAAATGTAGCCTGTGAACATCCTTGGTAGCAGCGTTTCTTTTGCCCAGAAAAGCAACAGTGGAAAAGGTTCCCAATGAAATGCTCCAAATCTGAGATGCTTTGAAGATTCCCACAATAGAAAAGAAGTGAATAGGATTTTTCAAGTAGTCTCCTATGTGTTTTCTGAGCTGTGAAATTTAGCTGTATTGTATGCAGGGAAGATGTATGATGAGAGCAGAGCTGAGCATAGAACCTGAAAAATAACTGAGGAGTGAAAAAGCCTCTGGTTTGCTTTTGAAGGGGAAGGGATGTCTCTGGGTTCTGCTGAGTTCACAAGCCAATTAAAATGTTTTAAACTTCCATGAGATTTGAGATCTGCTGGAGACAACCCAGTGAATATGAGTGGAAATGGCTCCTTAGAGTCAGGCATACGCCTGGAATAAAACTAGGAGGGAACTCTTAAGTCACGTATTTACTTTTTATGGGCTTGTTTTTGAAAAGTCATCAGAGCATGATAAAATATTTCTGCTGCTCTTCAGTATTTTGCTGCATAAGCTAGGACTCATGACATGATCTAATAATGCTCATGTGAAAAGGAAAAGCCTCCTTTATACTTTTTACAGCGAGTTGTACTCTTAACCAACTTTAGACTATTGCCTGTACAGCTCAGTGAATGTACTTTAAACTTTATGAGCTCTGTTATTTCCTGGCAGTTATATCCATGAAGGGATGAAGGAAAGAATGGACAGATTTATCTTCTCTCTCCTTCTTTATTTATTTTATTCCTCTCCTTCTGTCCTCTTTTTCTCTCTCTCTCCCCTTTTCTCTTTTTCTTTCTTTTCCTCCTTCTCCCCCTTTCTCTTTTCCTATCTTGTTATTGCATTTGGATTGCAAATGTTCTGCAGATTTTGCACAACTGTACAGAAGAGTGGCCTTTCTGTAGCCCATTTTCAGTAATCCTATATTCAAGTTGATATGGCTGACAAATCATGTATTAACATTTGTATAGAGTTCTGGATTCAGTGTAAGATTTGTACTATTAGAAGAATATTGTTTGTATAAACTGAACATTTATTTACTGCATGGGTACTGACTTGTATATTAAATTTGTGAGGTTTTTGTAAATTTCTCTTAAAAAATGCTTGACTTGAAATGGATTGTGCTATTGTCCCAAGCATTTAGATCCTCTTGCTATTGTTTTACTGGACCAAAAGTAAATATATTAATATGAAAAACTCTTTATATCTGATGGATGTATATGCACATTGTGTAGTTGATTCCTTGTCAAAACCAAGGCAGTTCAGAAGACTTAGATCTGTTGCTATGCAACAGCCATTCTGCCTGCACTTTACATTAGTAAAGTTAGCTTGATTGCTTTAAAGGTGAAAATTAAACATTACAGTTTTTTAAGCTAGTCTAGTGACAAAGAACATGTGTCCTCTTCATTGTGCTGCCTTCTTTTAAGAGTATTAAATGTTCTTCTATATATATATTTTTATTGTATTAACTCTCAGCCTAGAAAGGGAACACTGTAAAATGAAGTACAATAAATTTAGCTTTTAAATGAACGTTTATGACTCAATATTCAATTTACTCCATGCCAGAGTTATTTTGTGGTATCTGACCATTTTACCTGCATTTCACAGCTTCATGTACCTTTATGTACCTCTGTTATCCGAGTTCGAACTCTGCCAGCATGGCCAAAAAGGGCTATTGCTGATTCATATGTAGGCAGACACTGAATAAAGACTTTTGAAAACCTTCAGTTACCTCCCTCCCCTTTTTACTGTTTGATGAAAGAAAACATGCGGGATTCTCTCATGTACCAGTCCAACAGCAATGAACAATTTCACCATTATGAGCAGGTATGATAAAACACTGTTTGCTACCCAGGTAAAGTGTCAAGGCATTAGTTACAGCTTGTTACTCTTGTAACAAGCTTCTTAGAGTCTGATAATAAGTATACTTATTCAGTTCTGGCCATCTAAACTAACGTAGGGTTTGGATACAAATGAAAGGTACAGTACCAATAGATTGCCTCTTTAAAATGACACAAAATAAGCATCTGGAAAGCATTCTACAACAAAGGCCACTGAGAGAGAAATGGCTTCTATCAAACAAACACTGTTTTAACTTATAGCTGTAACTGAGTCCACATAGCAAAAAATCCATGCTTTCTGTCTAGTAATTTCCTGCTGGTTAGCGAAGACATTCTTGCCTACTATGTAGCATATCAAATAATACCTTTTCCTTGGCTACTAATTCTTGTAGGCATCAATTTTCTAGTCTTTATACAGCTCGCTTTCATTTTGCTTAGCCATAGCATAAAAGCTCAATACCACTTTACCAACTGGGAAAATTACCTCTGATTAAGAAAACAGAAAAGTTGGATTATATTTTTTAATATATTTAAAATATGACTTGCAACACCTACTAATTTCTATCTAGGTATTACTCTTCAAAAGTCAAAGATTATGATTCTCACTGGTCGCCTCTAAATATGCTGCTTGCTACATCCCTGCTCAGTGAGATCAGCTTCTGGCTCTATAAATCCTAGCAGTGTTTTCTGTCCTGGAGCCAGATTTTCTTGCCTGTTTCCACCGAGCATTTGGCTCATCCAAGCAAAAGTTCCACTTTCTCCCATTCAGTGCCACCGCAGTTTTCTTCTCCAGGACCGCCCCGCTTGCTCATCTCCTGGGATGGATGTTCCTCAGTGTTGTGAGTTCAGCAGTTGGGCAGCTTCTTGTGCTGGCTGTCACTGTCCCGCTCGTCAGCCGTCTCAGAGAGCTGGAGCACGGCACACTGCAGCCCACACCAAGGCAGAGGGGCTTTGCAGATCTCCTCCCAGCCATCGTTGTCAATGTCGTAGCCAACCACGTCCTGCGTGGAGACTTCCAGTGAGTTTTGCCATTTCTTTCCCCCGATAAGAAGAGCTGTTTCCTCTACCACTGCCAGGCCATAGGAAAATCGATCATAGACCAGTGGTCTTAACCGGGTCCATTGGTTTTGGTCAGGGTCGTACCTTTCTATTTCAGAGAATGGTTCATATAATCCTAAAAAGGTGAATATGGATTCCCTGATTGTTGCCATCTGATGCCCAAACCGAGCAATGCTCATTGGGGCTCGTTTCATCCACTGCCCTTCAAGTGAGCTCAGAGAATATACATCATTGCTTGTGCTGGCTGGGGCTGAGTACTTGCCCCCAGAGATGTATATAGTGTTCTTGCAAACAGCACTGGCATGGCCATGTATCTTGCATGGCAATTCCCTGACCTTCGTCCACCTGTCCCTGCTGATATCATAGACTTCCACAGACGAATGCAGAGATCCATCTTCACCCCTTCCACCAATGGCAAAGATATCCTTGCCTAAGACACAACAAGAAAACTGGCATCTCTTTTCCAGCATGCCTGTGATTTGAGTCCACGTGTTAAATCTTGGATCATAACGATGGACTTTGTTCGTAACCAATAAGATCTTTTCAGTTTTAGCATCACCCAGGGAACCACTTTCTATTTCCCCACCCAAGACATAGAGGAAGTTCCCCACCACGCACACACTGTGGTTCTGCACCCTGTGCTGCAGCTGTGTGAGAGTTCGCCACTTGTGATTGTAAACATCAAAGGCCACCACATCAGTGACAAGCCCCTCACTTGCTGTCCCTCCCCCCAACAGAATGATCCGAGTTTTCTGGTTCCTCAGTGCAGTGGACTTATCCTGCAGGACAGGCTGTTTGAATACAGATGTGTGATAATTTATTGCTTTAATGATCAAGCACTTAATACCTGCTGAGAGGGACACTTCTGACTGCGTGTAGGTTTTTCTCAGCTCTTCTACTGGGATGAGACCATATCTTATGTGCTCTAAAAGGCTGCTTGCATGATCCAGCCTGGATTTATCCTGCTTCAGCCACAGCAGCACAAGATTCAACAGGCGGCTTTCTTTCACCATGGGGAGATCTGGTGATTGAATCACTGCTAGTAAAGACTTGAAGTTCAGCTCAAGAAGTCCTGACAAATCCAAGTCCAGCAGCTTCCAGACATTATTGATAATGTATTTTTCTGTTGCTGCTAAGGCATCTGGCAGATAGAACTTCCTGGCCACATTGGCAGAGAAGCAGCAGTTTTCCAAGGCAAGATTGTTGATTAAGTACTGATTGCACAAACTGATAGCATCCGTCACTTGCAAGTAGCTTGCAGCTTCCAAAGTGTCCTCCAGGCTTTCAAAGGAAAGGGGTAGCAAGGATGTGTAGATGAAATCCAGGATGTGCTGGAGACCAGTAGGTGAGACAACTTGCAGATGAATGACACTGGCTTTAGACTCTTGGGTATAGCTTTTGAACATGGCTCGGAAGTAGTCGCTGGAGCATGCCAACAAGGACTTGTGTGCAGGGAACTCGTTTTCTTTCACTTTCAGCAAAATATCGCACAGAAAGCCCTCTGATCTCAGGCTCTGGTACTGGGCAAGCACGGCGGTGCAGTGTGCTTTACAATAGGACAGGAAGTAGCTCATGGTAGAAAATGCAATGCTTTCCCCCGGAGTTATTAGAGCTAAAATTCAATTAGATATTGAAGCAGCTGCCTTACTCAACAGCCATTGCTTGAATGCCCAGCAGACCTCCAGCTGTTAGAGAAAAGCCCAATCAAATAAAAAAAAAAAAACAAAACAAAACAAAAACAAAAAACTCAGTCTCTTGCCTGGCATAGAGGGACAGTTAGTAGATTTGTAGTGAATTCAATGCATTCCTTTATAAAAAAAACAGCTGAATGTTAAAACAGCTGTAGGATGCTTACTGTTCTCGCCTCCACAACTTGTGCAAGGATGAAGAGTCCGTGGTTGTGCTGAGCACTTTCTTGGCTGGCCATCAGGTGACAGATGAGGGAGCTAGATGACAATCCCAATAAATGGCCCTTCGTGTCTGCTCAGCTGTGGCCCCCGACCCTTCTTGCTCCACAGGCAGATCAAATTGATCCTCTCCGGCTGCCAGCACGTGGCTCTGAGCAGACACAGATGAGAAGGGAGTGGTGGCTTTTCTCCTCTTGTTTGTGTTTCAAGCTCCAGCCAGTTTAGACCTCGTCACCCCTAGGACAGGAGTCCCCTTTTCGTTCTCTTTCCACAGTGCCTTGGGAAGCCTCAGCTGAAGATCAAATCAGTGCCCAGGGATTATTACGGCAGCATTTTCTAAGCCCATAAATCTCTCTCCGGCAGGCAATAAGACAACCAAAATACCGTGATTAGTCACTGGTTCGATTTGACATGCATTTCTGGGCTCTCTGCTTCACGTGACACCTCCATAACTCACAGCTACCAGAATAGCCACAGGCTCATTCCCTCATCCCCCTTGCCCAGGAGCCAACCCTGGGCAGGTCTGGGCGGGCGGACGGAGGAGCTTCCACTGACAGCCACAGCCAAGGCAGCTGACTTGGAATGACCTGGCTGGAAATCACAAGGGTAACACATTCGCACAAAGTGGTGACAAAAATAGATTGCCCCAGTTCAGCCATAATAAACCAAAATCTGTTTATAGAGGAGGCTTTGCATAATTGTGCTCTCAGTTAACAGCTGGGAACAAACCCGGAACCCCCAGGGATGGGCTGGAGCTGTCTCACTCAGCTTTCTCGCTTTCATTTTGTCCCAATTAGAAACACTTACACAGGGATTATCCCTGATTTTCACCTGGGTACTTCAGGGTCTAATTTCTACCAGGAATAGCAGCTCTGGGCAGGCTACACATTCTGACCTCTTAAAGCTTGCTTTTATTTTTTCTTTTTTTCTTCTGCATAACTCTGGGTGCAGATGTTCAGGAATCTCCTCCTGACACCTTTCTTTCCAAATCAAACACCCTCAGGACTTGCAAACTTTGCCAGGGTTGATAAATGCCAGATAAGTTCTCTGCATCGTAAGCCAGCAGACTTGGGGGAAAAAGAGGATCCCACAGGACTGAAAAATACCACCGTTTGCTCAAGCCCAAGGTAAAGCCTTTTTACTGTATTTGCTTATATTTCTTTATGTGGTGTCATGAAATTGTGGCTTACCCCTGTAATCAAGGGGTGTTTCGGAGCTGAGTGGATCCTAATGTGGATCATGCATGCTGTATGACTGTTCTAGTGAGCTTGAACTGTCTTGCAAAGCAGACTGATACTTGCACATGATCTACTCTGTTTTTCAGGAATGACTACAAAAACATTGTTCTTCATTGCTGTATAGCTCTGAAAATTGATTTCCTGCTTGAATCTACTTTCTATAATGACATTATAGACCATAAATGGGGATTTTGTTAAAAGATCTTTCCCTTTGCTAGCAAAATGACATGTACGGGCAGTAGTAATAAAGGACAAAATGGATGCTTGTTTCTTTTTCCCAGTGGTTTTGCCTATGTCCAAGTTGGGATGATGCTAAGATATTTCAGATGTTAGCAAAGCTGTGCAAACAAGCTTATGTTTGACACTTTCCTGTTTGGGAGGTAGAGACTAGAGACCAGGTACCTCTGTCACCCCTGAGCAGTCATATGTCCTCTGATGAGGGACCAGGCCTTAAATGCTCCCATTCCTAGAGATATTGCTTTCCCCAGTTTAACCCCATAAGGTACCAGATTTCAATGACAAGAGGTGCAGATAAATCTCTGCTGTTTTCAAACAGCAGGGAGCTGCTGTGCCGTCGAAGTTTCACTGGGAGCCTGGAGGTGAGGCAGGGGAGCACAGGGGCTGCACCCACAGCACAGGGCTGAGTTTGAGGAGTGTTTCGGCAGGAGTTCTGGCATACACATCTCCTGGCATCACCTCCTCCTCACCAACAGACTTTATCCTCTATCAGCCCTTCACTTGTGCTGCCACAACTGCTCTGAGGTGGGAGGCTGGGAGGTGACACAGCCAGGAAGTGATGCACAAAGAGGAATGAGGAAAATCCAAAAATAGAACAGCAGAGAGGTCTCTGTGGCCCAGGTCAGGCCCTCAGCCTCCCTCACTGTGTGACCTCCCAAGCAGATGTAGTGCCCCAACCCACAATGCAGCAGAGGTGACCCACTGTCTGAGCAGTTGGCTGGGGACCCACCAAAGGGAGAGACCCTTGCCACAGGACACCCATCTGATGCACAGAAACCAGGCTGGTCTACTCTTGAGCAATGTCCAACAGCTCGCCAGAGGTGCCAGAGCGTGTATGCTGGTATTGCAAGGTAGCTGGGACTGAGTACACGTAATTAAATCCTGCTTCCCCTAGATCCAGGTGTACCAGAAAGAAGTCAGAAGTATGGCTTGGCCAGCTGAGGGTATTGCCAGCAGCAACCAGTATTAACTCCCCCACCAAGTGATGCACTGTCAGGCAATGTGCCTTTTCCTCTCCCTCAGCAAGGCCAGGCCAGGCATTGATCAACCGACTTTGCTGGCACTTGTGAGGTGCCAGCACAGCTCCAACTGCAAGCTCTGTCACTTCAGTGAGGCCAAACGATGCTCAATCTGAACGTCCCTTCCTGTCCCCAGAGTGATGCTGTGTTAACCAAACCTGTCATGCACCACTTGCTTTCCAAATGAATTCCATACATGGGCTGCCATTTATACAGGGCAGTTGCCAGCGCTGATTTCACTGAACTGATTTAATACCAATGCCGGATAAGCAGGTCCTATAATTGTATGCAGATTTGTTGTGCTATTTCCTCTCAGACCTGTTTCATCTTCATGGGAAGCTGGCTAATAGGAGTAGTGAGAATCATGATCCTTATAAAGCTGTTTATTTGTCTGGAGATTTTTTATTTTCTTTGGCATATAATTGAAATAAAGCCACATCCTTTCCAGTCCCCTGCTCTAGAGTGACAAAGAAAAAGATTATCATTATCAAAATGAGTTTTCTCCCTGCTCCATTTTTAGGCAGTTAGCCTTGTCTAACTAGGGAGCCTGCTCAGCCAAGACCCTCCTTTGTCAACAGACAAATTATCTTCAGGCAGCAGCTCAGCTCTTCAGCACCTTTGGAGGAATATTTAATGTCCATTAGTAAGAGAGCAGACAGTGACTAAACAGCTAACTTACGGATCTCAGCAAGAGACCTAGCACAAGGTGGGATGCAGTCAAACCATGTTCTTATTCTCCTTGGCTGCAATCTGGAAGATCAGATCTAATGTTTGACTCATTAGATGGTACTTAAAATTGGAAAATATTAGTGTTTCAATGATGTTGATTTGTTGGGAATAGATAATATATTTTTAATCATGTGTATCATTTAGACTTTAGATTTAGACTTCAGGCTTTCAGTATATTTTCTGTTCAAGTCATTGCTCTACTAGAGTAGGCAGTCTGCAATAAAAAAGAATATTCAGAGGTGTGCTGTGGAAAATGTTGTCTTCCCTGTTTGCAGTTATTTTTTTCTTATACGAAGTTGAAAAATGTCCCAAATTGCAATGACATGTTCAGTTTAATATTGCAAGTAGACCATCAGTTAATAAACAATTCAGCTACTATTGTAAATTTCCCAACATTTTTTTTAAGAGTAAAATTATAAAAGGAGTTGTACAAGTAAAATTAGACTCATTAGTAATAAGTGGCTTACTGTAAAATATTCATTACAAAAATCCAGAGCGGATGATTTCTAAGCTACATTTTGTTCCAAAAGAAATTAGTGGAGTCTGGAGGACAAGAGAATAAATGCTTAGGATGCTCCATAATGTACCGCATGAACAAATACAGCAAAAGTGAGACAAATGATGAATGTAATAGGGATGATGTAGCATACAGATTTTCTAGAAACTACCAATCAGAAAGATCATATTGATTTAAATTGTCTTGGAAAAATCTTTGGACTAGAGTCTGTTCTTCATCCTTGAATAATCATTCACAATAGTATTTGGGTCAGCCCATCTATTTAAAGCAAAGGATGTTTAGCTGAGGAAAGCAGTCCTTAAGAACAAAACAGTAAGAGGGAGGAATTTTCTTGCAGCTAAACGCAATATCTGGTGAGATCATATCTGTTTATAAAAGCAAAAGAAAGTTAGCAGCTTGGACGAGGTGGGTTTAGGCCATGGGGTTTCCATTTTGGCAGGGGGAGGCTGGGGATGCATGTGGCTTTAAGCACTGTCTGAGTGGTGCCCACCAGGACACTCTGTCCCTGTGAGCTGAGGGAGCAGGAAATCAGCATGAGGCAGTGCACCCACCAACTCACCAGACAAGTCTGCAAACCCTCAGCACACTGTATCCATCCATGTGCCACCTCAGAGGAGTCTGTGTCTGGGGACACTGCTGGCAACAAGAGCTTTATCTGAGTGCAAGCCTCCATCTGCCACTGGGTAGAAGAGAGGTGAGCAGGAGTCAGAGCAGGGATCCAAGCCAAAGCCTGCTGCAAGACCACATCTGCTAAGCCATGGCTGCATGGCAGTTTTCTGTGATTCAGTGGAAAAGAGGAATAAACGAGGAAATACGATTGGCACACCTGGGTTGGAGGTGGCCGTGTCCCAGTTGGGTTATTCTAGCACTAACTACACCTGTGCGAGAAAACGTCCTGTGTCAAACTGTGAAACATGAAATAACAGA